CACCCATTCATTTATTTTTGGTTTCCGCATCCCATCAACGGCCATTCTTTACATTCATTCTTTGCCCTTTCCCAGATCTCCTGCGCATAAGTTATCATTAGCCTTGGTTTTCTATTTCTGGATTGTTTAGAGATGGCCCGCCCACCGCGACGGCGGCCAACCCTATAAAACCGCTACAGTGCGCGCATTCATTAGCGATTGTAGGCTGAACCCCGTTCTGTCTCTTCGTCTGCGTACTCAAGTAGTTTATGCTATCCTCCATCCTATGGACGTCATGAAGCCAAGAACACGAAGCGCATCTCTATTTATTGATAACGGAAAACCAACGCTCTACTTGGACCCATACTCGTCAACGTGTCATCGATGTGGAAGTACAACATCCCCAATAAAGTAAGCACTTCAATTTTTTATTAAATAAAAAGCTTATTATTCATTGAAAATCGGAAAAATCCAAGAAAACGGCTTGGTCTGTCTCTTAATCGTATAAACCACCAGTAGCAGCGGGAATATGGGGGCAAAGGCCTTCACGGTTTCTCCGAAGACCTCATTTAGTTCATCATTCTCCCCTTTTTGACTGATCTTTGCTTGAAACCGCTGGCAGTTTGCATGGCACATGCAAAACTGAAAACAATAGCACGTGGATTCGCGTGCCATGTGGTTTTTGCACTTTCGGCATAATTAAACAAAAACTTTGAAAGTCATCATTTACAGGCGAGATTACGGTGTTATTGTAGACTTCTAAGGAGGTACACTTGGCCATCTTTACCTTTACTACTTGTCCCTCCACGCAATTACTGTGAGCTACAGTACCTCCCATAACTGTTAAAAAAGCCGCGGAAGATGCGGATCCGCGTCTTTTCGTCTTTTTCTTATAACTTAACTACTGTTTACTTTTTCACGGAAATTATACCATCAGAGTCACCATTAGAGTCACCTAGTCAAGGTCTATTAATCTGTCCTCTTAATTCAAGAAAATTTCACTTTTCAATTCCAAAGTGCCTAGATGACTCATTAGCGAGCGTCGCTCGCTATAATTATAACCAGAGGGGAACGGCTCCACTATTATTCTGAAATAGGATGAAAGTGAGAGAAATGTACTCTTCAGGTAACGCAATCATTTTGCTACCCATTTTCCCTATTCGAGCCAACTTTGTTGGGACCCATTCTTGAACGAAATTGCTTCTTCGATGAAGAGAATAATAAACGACTGAAATATCACCCTACGTAGCTTATAGCTCAAAGCTGCTGCTGGTGACTCGTCTTAGCAATTTTGAGTGAAGAAAAGAATTTTCGGAATTGTGAAGCAGACCTATAGAACTCGACTAACTGAATCCAACGGTATAGTTTTCCATGGAGAAAAGTAAACTTTAATCAAGATATAACAAAAAGACGAGACGCAGATCCGCAGATCTTATGCGGTTTTTTTTCTCGACGGGAGGTACTGTACCGTACTTTGCAGTGAACTTTGTCTAGTACATCAAAGAGCGCTAGCAAATTACTATAAAAAACATATTCATGTCGAACGTTCCCGAAATTGAATTTGACTTCCCCGCATCACGGTTGAGGCGTAGCTGGTTCTGATTGTGAATTTTACCTATTACGTGAGTAGAAAACAAAAGGAGTCTACATTTAATGGTGATTTTAAAACATTGTTCAAAGGACCGTGTAGCTTCCATGTTCATCGAGCATAGAAATACACGTCCAGTAAAGGGAAACATGCAGCATACGGAATCCCTTGTCTTGATTCTCGCCCTACGCACACCACAGCGTTACCGACTTTACGAGCTACCATATACGCTGGAGTTCAGAACTTAAGGACTAACGCAGCTTTTCATGAAGTGTTACTGGCGTGTAACGTAACACTACTCGATTTTGATGTGTAAATGGAACTACACATCGAAAGACCTGCTACAGCGCAGTACAGAAAGCAGTTGACATGAAACGTTAAACGGTCCCCAAAGCTATAAATAAGCCATGTTATCTACCTCCTCCTTGAATTTTGCACACGAGTGTATGAAAACCGTGGGCAAACATGGGGTGTTGTTCTCATTCTCAGCATATTTTCATTCGTTCATTCCCGAGCTATTGCATGCGCCATATGTTTTTGCAGGGAATTTCACGGAATCGTGATAACAACTCTTTTCTCAACTGAGAGAGGTAGAGAATCTAACCTTTCATAACCTGTGCTTCAGAGCCCAGGTAGTTCATCCAGTCTAAAGGTTTTATGAATCAGAATTGTTGCTTTAGGTAACTCATAACCGACCCAAAAGAATCTACTTCCCTTGTAGAACCTACATACTTCAATAGAAGAGCCCCTACCCATAAGTTTCAACACTAATCCGATACAGGCAACGGAAGGTGTGTGCCTAAAACGTCCCAGTTACTAGCACATGCCGTACTGAGTGAAAGAGGCTCTACGTAATGTTTTGGGAAATAGAAATTTCCTCCACGAGTTCTATTCCATTTATTAATATAGCCTGATTCCAATTTATAAAGAGCTTTGTGAAAATCAACCAAATTCTCATTGCAATCCTACATAGTACACAAACGCCATCTTAACACGCAACAAACAATGGGGCTATTCAAGTTCCAAGCTATTAACGAGATCGTGGCGCATTCCACACGCGATCAGCATATAACCATTTGGCTCTTTCTCCTAGTTTTTTCAAACACTCAATCGCGTTTAATCCCCGTGGAAATCACATGCAATAATCTTTGCTAAAGAACAAATTTCGTACTGCAGACGTATAAGCCTTTGCGCTTTACTGATAAGGCGGTGGCCGTTGCCACAGCTTCCTCCTCAAAGATTTCACGTCCCATTATTTCAGCGGCATATCAATCTCTCTACAAAAACTGTCAACAATTAATCGTTCACTGGTTGGCACCCCACGTAACGGCACTACCCTCGACTCCATGATTGATCTTGGAGGACATGCTGGGCCCTCTTCGCTTGAGCTCGAAGCAATCGGTATGTTTTTCATTTGATCGTATTGAAGTTCTCTAGGAATTCGATCTGTTCAGCGGCTGTGCACGAACTCTCCTATGCCGTACAGTCGATGAGCGTTTCCGAAATGTTGCCACGAACTGCGGATATGATTTTCGTCAACGTCACCACCATTGAAGGTTTGTACTTTCTTCACCAGCTTGATTACCTACCGAATGAACGAAACCGGCACTAATCAATTCCACTGGAATATGCCACAAACACAACTTTTAGTGGGATCTCCGAAAGGATTGCAGATCTAGCCGTGTTTTACTTCAGTAATTCTATTCTCGGGAATAAGTGTAGCATCTGAGAAATTAATAACACTTATTGCATAAAATCTAGTAATCCTAAAGAAACCCGAATGCTTCTCGATTAGGGTTCCCAAATACCGTACTGAGGCGGTTAGTGCCCAGATCATCTGAAAGTTAGCATCTGAGAAGCATCTAAGTGTAGCATTCACCAAGCAACCCTTCTCCTTTTAAACCGACCACAGATACCCTCATAAAAGTTTCCATTTCAGGACAGCCATATTGTCTGGAATTGACGCACAAAGGTTGGCGTATCACATCGCTACGAACCGACTGCATGATTGGCGATTTCACACGTCTTGAACTATTCACCAAATATTACGCTTCACCCTGTGAACTTATGGCCACGATATCGCCGGGATATCGAGAACGCTCTAATGAGAAGTCCGAGTTACGGCAGAAAATGATTGAGGTAAGCATATTCTGACAACCAACCTGAATAACGCTGAACGTTAACTGAGAATTTCGGATGCTTCCGCGTCTATCCAGAATAGTGAACAAATCGGGCCTATGGGGCTACACGATGATTTTCTGAGAACCCAATTTTCAAGACCTTTTTCTCTTTTCTGCGGGTTTCTCTCTTCTAGTAGATCGAATGACAACTAAAAGGTTGGAAGTACAGACGACCTGAATGACTTCAGTATGTTACAGTAACGTTATGTCCCCCCCCCCGAACTATTTTTGTCATGGAGCTGTTGAAATGGTCGACATTCCTACTTGCTTCCCTGACTATTTGACTCGAATTCATGTGTTGTGGGTTCTATGCTAGGTGGCATTCATTTGGGTCCAGGTATAAGGGACGCAATACCGTACCACTACCAACCCCACTAACGTCAGCACTAGACAGCAAGTTTCCTAAGCCAACTTGTTCTGTTTTCAGATTGGAGACAACCACTGTATTGCACCATTTGGCAGCTATGATTCCTCGTATCTCAACGCCCACTGTTGTCGAAGAAGAAAAAGAAGTTCACGAAGCGACGAAAGCTCCCTTTCCGACAAAGGATCGCCGGATAGTTCTCAATTGTCAGATGTGGACGAGTTGGATCATGAAACCCTATTTAATTGACTATATATTATAGCCAATGGTTACGTTGTTATCGCACGGATTCTTGTGTCGGGTTTTGAATCCGCCTTCACTGTGCAGTAGCAGTATGTATAGTTTTACCCGGACTCAAAGAGCCCTGTACAGATATTTTATTTTCACTAATAAATTCATATGTTTTTGCTGTAACCGTTCCCATCGGCTGAGTAATTGCTCTTTTTTGTTTTTCTCGATTTTAATCAGGGTTGACAACGTTTTTCAGCTACGTCGGTATTCAGATGGTCAAGTGACTGCACTACGCACGTCACGTGAGCAAACAAGTCGGCAAATCCCACCCACGAGTGTGGTTTTTCACCGACCCATGAGCCCTCCTCGCTGTGTAATGTCTGGCAGCAAATTATAATGAGGGAATCGTAGTTCAGCATTAAATTCCCTATAATCCAGTTCTCAGCCCACAGTTGATAACGAATGTCAAGAAGATGCTGTTGTTACGACAAGGGCCTGAACGGAATCGACAAAATTGATAATAATACGAATAGAAAGATTTTTAAGAACCAACGAAAGGCAAGGGTTAGAACGTGTTGGGGTCCTATGGCGCATAAAAAAAGATAGCGGAGATTTGAAATGAGACTTCAGCGAGGAAGGAAGGAGCCATCAGCAAAGCCAAGAAAATAATTCCCTCCATTCCTCCACACCAGCGAAGGAGCCTCGCATGTCCATGCGTGTTCAAGGACTTTCTGCTTACTGTTCTTTAGTATTTTGCTCTCAGAATGGATAAACAGTGTATAATTATTAATATTATTTAATAGATGTAATAATTACTATGCACTCGGAGGTGGCCACGGTAACTATAAGAAACCAAATCAGTTATAAACTAAAAACTGAATTGAAACAAAACTCGAACTAAGCAGCATTTTCTACTTAAGCGGAAAGATATCAGACATTACCATAAAATATTGTTAATGCCTAATAAGTCGAGTGAAGTCAGCGCCCTATAATTTTTTTTGCGAACGCATAT